GCCAGGTCAGGGCTCAGCCTAGACCAGGAAACTGGGTCAGGACTCAGCACTCCCAGGGCTCCTGAGACTGCCCCCCAACAGAGGCCCTCTTTCCCTCTCTGTCTGTACTACGTACCACCTTACTTCTGTCAACAGTCCTATTCCAGGCTGCTAGTCCAGGCCTGTCTGTCTCCAGAACTATCCAGGACCAACCCCAAGACTGAGAAACTACCCTGCATTCCTGCAGTCTGCCCAGCATCGTGCACAGAGCCTGGCACACAGCAAGTGCTCAGCTAATGCTCTCCCCTGCATGGGGCTTGCTGGCTCGTGACATCTTGAGCGACTATGTTTGGCTTGAATGAGGCCTGTGGGCTGGGCTGCCTCCACTTCCTGGGCCCTTCTGCCAACGCAGGCTTCAGGAGAGGGTTCAGTAGTGGATTACGCCCTGAGGACTGAACTCCAGACTAAGCATCCTGAGACTTGAGTTTGAATCCGGCCTCTGCCACCAACCAGCCCTGTGCCCCTGGGCAACTCCTGCCTTTCCACTTAACCACTTGTCAAAGGAGCACTTCTTTGCCGCATTGCTGTGAGCCTTGGTTATGGGTAAAAGATGCTCTGGAAGTACTAAGTGCTACCCAGATGAAATCCTTCCTTTGGAAGCCCTTTACCTTCAATCTTTTTTTTTTTTTTTTTTTTTGAGGCGGAATCTTGCTCTGTCACCCAGTCTGGAATGCAGTGGCTTGATCTCAGCTCACTGCAACCTCTGCCTCCCAGGTTCAAGTGATTCTCCTGCCTCAGCCTCCCAAGTAGCTGAGATTACAGGCATGTGCCATCACACCTGGCTAATTTTTGTATTTTAGTAGAGACGGGGTTTCACCATGTTGGCCAGGCTGGTCTCAAACTCCTGACCTCAAATGATCCGCCCACCTCAGCCTCCCAAAATGCTGGGATTACAGGTGTTAGCCACTGTGCCCAGGCCCTTTTCCTTCAATCTAATAGCTCACAAGTTCAATAGCATAGTCAGGAGAGGAGTGTGGCTCCCAAACCCTCAACATCCTCATCTCATCTTGTTGTGTTCTCAGCACATCACCGCAAATGGTGGAAAGGACACACTGCAAAAATGAGGAGGCAATGAAAAATGAAATTAGGAAGAGAAGAAGCAGTGAAAGAGATACGGGAAATCCACAGACCAAGGCAGAAGAGGAAAGTGATGGGGGAGTGGGGCATGGGGCGTGGCAGGGAGACGAGGCAGCTGCTCACCTGCACCGCGTTCCCACTGGGAAAATCTAAACTGAACACATGCTGCAGTGCGGTGTCGCTTACAAACTGCTGTCACCTGTGATGTCTCATTCAAGTCTCTCAATAGCCCTCTAAGGTAGATACTGTCACCCCCATTTCACAGATGGGGAAGCTGAGGCACAGCTAGTGAGTGGCAGAGCCAGGGCTAGAACTCAAGTCTCCTGACTTTAACTCGGACTTTCTGCAACACCACAGAGGCTCCCAGTCTGCATGAGATACAAGCCTCGGTGTTGTCAGAAGAACGAAAAGAAGCAACGGGTGTGCATGTCCTTGGGAGCTCTGTGAGGTACCCAGAACTCACAGGCACTGGCTTAGCAAACGATGTCAGCAATGGGATCGGGGCTGGAATGCTGCCTGGGTACAGCCAGGGGGACTCTGGGTGTGGGAAAGGGAAACCCCACCTCTTTCAGGGAGCCGTGGAGGAGCCATCGAAAAGCTTTAACAAGGAGAAGTATAAAGGGAGGGAAATTCAACCCAAAAAGTCTCTTTATCACAGCCCATGCCTCTGCTCCTAGGAAGGCCAGATGGGGATCACCCTCAGTCCCAGTCGTGAGTCACCTCCCTCCAGCCAGGAGGCCGGTCACCCTGCGAGGCCCATGCCGATGCCCCGACCCCACCTAGAAGGGCCGATGTGATCCCTCCAGGCCTGGGCCTTGGGACTTTTAAAAGCTTCTGGAACGGATGGCAATGTGCGGCAGGACAAAGAACCCCTGAGAGAGACACAGGGAGACAGAGACAAAGGGAGAGATAGAGACAGAGAAAGAAACTGAGACAGGAACAGAGGGAGAAACTGGTAAAAGATAAAACAGATGTGGTGAGGAGAAGAAAGCACGGGAATGAAGTGGGAGGGAGGAAGAGAGAAATGAGGGGAAAGCCTCGTGTGGGTAGAAACTGCGGTAGGAAAGAGAGGGACGTGGAAGAGGGGGAGCAAGGCAGAGGCCGAAGAAGCTGCTGTGACTGTGACTCATTGAGGCCCCAGGCTCCTTCCTCCCCTCCCCCCAAGCCTCCCAGAACTCAGGGACTGCTTAGACCCCGCTGATGAACTCCTGACAGGGCACCTGAGCCACACACCCCTCTCTCCTGGGCCCTCCCTGATCCCCAACTCTCACTCAGCAAACTGGCCCACGCCCCCTAGCCAGGCCCAGGTCCCTTAGGCCCCAGCCTCCAGCCACCGTTCAATGCCCCTTCCCTCTCACAGGGCCATCTCCACCGTCTCCTGATTTCTCTCCTTCCAATGCCAAAATCCCACCCACAGACCCTCAGGGGGATCAATCACCCCTGCCCAATTCATCCCCACCCCCACCCTGCTCTCCTGCAGGCTGCGGCTGATGAGCTGGGCCTTCCTGGGCTGCGTTATTTCCCTGCAGCCCCATAAAAGCAGATTCATTAAGAAAACCACACACTCTGCTGAGCTGCCAGAGGCATCCAGAAGCTGGGGCTGCTGAATGAGGCCTGTGGACTGGGCTGCCTCCACTTCCCAGGCCCCTCTGCCCACCCTTCTGCCCTGTGCCCGCCTCGCCTCTAAAGCCCTCCCCAGGCCCTGCTCAGAACCCTCCCCACCCCATCCCCCAGAACCTCTCCCTCTCCTTCCTCTGCTTCTTCCTCCCTCTCATGCCAAGGCCGGGTCCTACCTGCGACTTAGCCAGTTCTGAAGGGAGATGTCACCACGGCCGTTTTCCTGAGACAGGCCCTGCCCACACTGGTCAGTGACCTGTAGGGCTGGCCCAGGGTACCCAAGCCCTCTGAGTGCCCAGGCTGGGAGAAGGAATCTCAGGGTTGGTGATGGCAAACATGCAGGGTGGGCTCTCAGAAGCCTCCTCCCGAGCACCTGCTCACCCACCAACAGAGTGACCCGAATCACACACCTGCTCTGAGGCCTACTTCCTTGTTTATAGAGCACAGAAGCCATTACCTGCCTCTTGGGCCATTGAAAACACTAAATGAATGAATACACATAAAGCATTCAGACCCCAGCATAAGACAAATTTCCCTATAAATGACAGCTATTATTCCTATTATTATTTATTATTGGCCTATGGAGCAGTCTGAATTTAGTTGGGTATAAAAATAGAACTAAAAAATAAAAAGTCACTGCCTTCCAGCCGATCTATCAAAATCCTCCCTGACACGGTCTCTTCACAGCGTCCTGAGCAGAACTCAGAGCTGCCTGATCCTGTCCAGTAGGGCTTCCTACTCCAGTCTCATGTCCTGTTTGCCCCTGGCCACCCCATCCCCTTATGCTTATGGTTCAGGGCGTGGAGTGGGGCAAGGACTCCTGCTGAGGCCCTCCGAATCCTCCCCCACTCCGGCTGGAGGCTGTGGGCCGAGGCTTGGTGTCTGCCATGATGGGGCCCCTCCTTGTGGTGTGGCGGCTTCTCTGGCATGCTCCAGCCAGCTCCGATGCTGCCAGCACAGCGGGCCTGCAAATGCTATCTTTCTCGTAGGATGCCATGTGGGTGCCTTCCGTGGGAGACCTGAGTGTCCTGTCACATGGTATGGAGCCCAAGCTAGGACACCTGGCTCTACCGCACTCCTGCTCCTGCCATGGGGCACAGCCCCACAGCCTCATCTGAGCTGAGACTCCTCCCCTGGTGGGCAGCCCATGGAAAAAGTGTCATCAGGTCACTCAAGCACAAATCAAAAACTTGTCACAGCCAATGGTAACAGGCTGGGCTCTTTGCCCTGCAGTGTTCCGTGGGGATCCTGCCAGGCCACTGCCCTGAAGATGCCACTGGGGACCTGCATGCCACACTCCCCTTCTTGCAGGTACCTCATCGCCATAAGCTGTTTCTCCAGGAAGTACCACAAAAAAAGCATGCCCAGGACAGAATTCTTCCCACCTTTCCCTCACTCAGTCTTCTTTCCCATCCCAGGAAGGTGGGCTGGGTGATGGCTGGAGGTAGCAGGGCCTTTGAGGAAGCCCTAGGAAGATATCTGGCTCTGCCCATTGGCAGGTCTTTACAGAAGGGGGCACTGGGTCACTTCAGTCTCTATTTTGAGCTCTTGTTGCCACTTTTAGGGCACCAGGAAAAATCCCAATCAAATTCCTATTCATCATTAGTACTAAGTTAAGGAGGAAGCAACACAGAGTGGTAAGGGCGAATCTAGAGACAGTGAGATGGGGACAGGCTGTGGGCCTGACCCCAGTAACACTAAGCAACTCAACCCTGTCCCCGATGTTACCATTGCCGGAGGGAGGAGTGGTCTGAGCTCCACCTAGGAGTCCAGGCGGTGCCTGCACCGGTCAGGGTGATTCTGATGGGAGAGAGCTGGAGCTCACAGCTTTATTTAGCACCCACCAAAAACCAGGCTCACGCCCACAATCCTTGCTGTCACTCTGGGGCCTGACCACCACCCTGGTGGCATGGTCCTCTCCCAACCCCCATCAGGAGCTGGGAGCCCATGGAAGCCACACTGTGTGGGCAGTGAGAAGTCCTGGTTAGGTCTTCACCTACCACATGACCTTGAGCAGGGCCCCCAACCGCTCCGAGCACTCTTTCAAAGTGAAAGAAGAGTGGACCCAATGTGCTCTCTACAAGGTGGTCGTCAGAACTAAATGAGATTCCAGGTGTCAATGCTTTGTCCCTGGGGAGCATGGGGCCCAAGTGAGGGACCACTCTGGCTGTTTGTTGGAGACCCCCCACACCAGAGATTGCCCTCCCACGCCCCCAGGCTCCTACCTGTTATTGCCACCAAAGCCAAAGCTGTCCCTCTCTCCCCAGATGTTTCGGTGGCCGGTGGCCAGCACCATCGACAGAAATGAGATGCTGGAGATTCAGGTTTTCAACTACAGCAAAGTCTTCAGCAACAAGTAAGTGTGGGATGGGGCAGGAGGGGATGGGCCTGGAGGGGCTGGGAGCCTGCCCTTCTCCTTGGGCTGCCGTCTGCTTGGGGCTTAAAAGGGGGACCTACACTCCCAACCTGCCTTGGATTGATCTTCAAAGACCAAAGAAGTCTTGGGCTGGTCTTTGATCCCCATTCTGCTCCCTCTTCTTGTCCTCAGAATCCCCCAGTCCTCCCAGCTGCTGTCAGCCAAGAACACCTGCCTCCTTTCACCCCTTCTGTTCCCAATCCCATCAAAGCTTCCTGTCCCTTTCTTAAAGTCTCCCTCAATGCCATGCTGGGGACAGTTACCCATTGGAAAGGCAAAGGATGGAGGGGCTGATGATCTCCTCCAAGAGACACTCTGTAGCCTTGAGGGCAGGCTTGACAGTTTAGGGTGCTGGTTTAGGAATCAGGCAAGGCTGATCTCAGACAATCATGTCAGTCATCTACTGTGTGACCCTGGGAAGATTACATACCTCTCTGATTTCAATGTGCTCATGTGTGAAAGGACATTTACCTCAAAGGGCAGCTGTGAGAATTAAGCGAAATAGATGTTCACTCACTCATTCAGCAAATGTTTCCTAAGTGCCGATTGTGTATCAGATACTGAACTAAGTGCTGCAGAGGGTGGGGTGCCTAGCCCTATGGAGCTTCCACTCCGCAAGTGAAATACACCTGCCATATGAGCATTATCACTATGAGGTGCTCAGTAAAAGTTGTGTTCTTCTCTCTAGGCCATGAAGAATAATTCAGAAGGATTTGAACAGGTTGGAATAGTGGCTAAGTATTATAAATGTAAAGTACTATCTTGGATTCAAAAATCACAGCCAGGTGTGGCACACACCTGTAGTCCTAGGTACTTAGGCAGATAAGCCAGGAGGATCATTTGAGGCCAGCCTGGGCAACATAGTAAGATCTCATCTCTTTAAAAAAAAATGATTGCTCTTATACAAGCTGGAGGAGTTCATGGCTTAACTGCAACACGTCCAAGGTATGGAGGTATTATTAGCTCACTGAGGACTCAGAATGACTCAACAGTGGGAGGAGACTACAAACAAAAGGAAAGTAGACCCCATCCTAAATCATACTAATAGAATTAAAGCACCTCTGATCTGAGCAGGAAAGACAAGGAGTCTACTGCTCTGATACTGCTTGTAGAGGATTCTTGTAGGCACCACCCTGCAGTTGCCAGGAGGAAAGTGATTTTAAGGATCACCTTATGACAAATGGATGAAAGCCTGAAAGGGAAAATCACAGAGGACCTGTTCATCCATTCATCCATACATTGATCCATCCATCCATCCATCCATCCATCCATCCACCTGCGCTTCCTTTTAGTCATCCATCTGTCTATACATTTGTCTATCCATCAGTTGACTCAACTCATCCTTCCTCCTCTCGTCCATCCGTTTATCAATCCATCCCTCCATCCATTTGTCAATTCATTTATCCACCCATTTATTCATCTATCCATTCATCCATCCATTCACCCATCCTTCCTTCCATCCATTCATCCATCAATCCATCCTTCTGTCCTTCCATCCATTCATCCACCATCCATCCTTTCATCCTTTCATTCATTCTTCCATCCATTCATCCACCCATTCATCCATCCTTCCATCTTTCTATCCATTCATCCACCAACCATCCTTTCATCCTTTTATTCATCCTTCCATCCACTCATGCATCTTTCTTTTTTTTTTCTTTTTTTTTTTTTTGAGACAGAGTCTTGCTCTGTGGCTCATGGTGGAGTGCAGTGGCCTGATCTTGGCTCACTACAAGCTTCACATCCCTGGTTCAAGTGATTATCCTGATTCTCCTGCCTCAGCCTCCCGAGTAGCTGGGATTACAGGTGCTCACCACCATGCCCAGCTAATTTTTGTATTTTTAGTAGACACAGTGTTTCGCCATGTTGGCCAGGCTGGTCTTGAACTCCTGACCTCTTCCCGCCTTCACCTCCCAAAGTGCTGAGATTACAGGCATGATCTACTACTCCCAGCCCATCCTTCCATCTGTCCATTCACCCATTCATCCATCCATCCATCCACCATCTTTTCATCTAGAAATGTCAACCTTGTAGTCACTCATCGTACACATACTGAACAAATACTTTCTGTCAGTCAGACACTGTGCTAGTCACTGGAGATACTGAGATGAAGGATTGAGGCACAGTCCCTGCCCCTACACTCCCAGAAGGTTTTCTGCCATGGGAAGAGGAAAGAGAGGTGTGTATCTAGAGGTAGGATGAGGAACAGGCTGCTTGAAGACAGCAGACAGCAGAAAGATAACCAGCCTCTCCAGCCAGTGTGCTGTCTTAGGAGGTAATAAGCTCCTTGCCACTGGGAGAGGGTGAGCGAAGAGTGGATCATGTTGTAGAGGGAATTTCTGAGTTAGGAGAGGCCCAGCCATATGGGCCTCAGAGAGTCCCTGATTCTGTGGGTTTTATTAGGAGCTTTCAAAATCTCAGCTGAGTGTAGGGCAAGGGCATTTCAGACCTGCTGGCAGAGCCACATGGAGAATGTTTAGGGCACAGAGGCCTTCCCTTTGCCTCCCATGGCATGACACCATTCAGGAAACTGCCTTTGGCACCCACAAACAAGGTTGGTGAGACACCCCCACCAAGGGCCCCCCAGGCAAAGCACAGCCTTCTTCCCTGGAGTGAGATACTATGAGAGTGTGACCTATGAGGACAGGAGAAACAGGAACAAGCGCCAGGCCCACACACAGACCAAGTGGGTGTGAAGGAGGAAGCCGAATCAGAAGTCAAGCACTAGGGAGGGCGCCTGAGAGCCCTGCAGGAACCCAACTGTGGATGTCAGAGCATCCAGGAGCCATATGGCTTGGCCACTACAACCTTAGCTGTGCAGGGGAGGAAACTGAGTCTCAGAGGGGATCCTGAGGTCGCATGGATAGACAGTGGTAGACCCAGGGCTAGAATGCATGTCTGTTATCTCCTCTTCCTAATCCAACTCCCAGAAACCAAAGTATTTGAGCAGTGATGGTGGAAACTGAGGACATGGAAGACATTGCTAAATCATTTACAATGAAAGCCGCCAGCCTAACCACTGAAATGCTGGAAACCCTTGAGCCCATCAAAAAACCGCTACAAACAAATCAGAAGTATTTGGGAAATTGACTACCATGCAGTGAATATGTTGAAAGTTACAGTTTCTATTAGGTGGTTTTATTTGTTTGTTGTTTGTTTTGGAGACAGTCTCACTCCATCACTCAGGCTGGAGTGCAGTGGCGTGATCTTGGCTCACTGCAACCTCTGCCTCCCAGGTTCAAGTGATTCTCCTGCCTCAGCTTCCCGAGTAGTTGGGATTACTGGTGCCTACCACCACGCCCAGCTAATTTTTGTGTTTTTAGTAGAGGCAGGGTTTCGCCATGTTAGCCAGACTGGTCTCGAACTCCTGTCCTCAGGTGATCCACCTGCCTCAGCCTCCCAAAGTGCTGGGATTACAGGCGTCAGCTACTGCATTTAATTTAGGTGTTAAGTGCCAATAAAAAGAAAGACAGAAAGGGGGGATAGTTCCTATCCTAACTCTCCTTCTTCTCTCCCTGCCCCCATCCAAGAAAGGCAGTGCCCTGATTAGTTTGTGGAATAAAAGAATGAATAAATGCCCCCAGGGTGTTAGGAGGCAGAGGTTATATAGAGCAAGAGAGCCTGCAGGGGGGACTCAGAGCAGCCCCTCTTCTCTGAATGGCTCAGGGCACTCAAGGGTAACACTCAGCTTCACATGACTGATGCATTTGGGGAAACTGAGGTAACGGAGGCTGGTCTGAGAAATGAGCCTGATCCCATCACTGCCATCTCAGAGAGAGGGACTGTCCTAGAAGCAGAGAGCAGCATGGAAACTCGCCCCTCACCCAGTAGTTCCAGAGGCTGCCAGGAGGCAGAGACATGGTGTGAAGGAAGGAGGCATCCTAGTCAGAAACCAGGAGACCTTCACTTCTGCTCAGCCCCATCTGGAACAAAGACCACATCCAGGAAGCTTCGACTTTCCCATGAGGAAGAAATGTTAGGTTCAGGAGATTTTGTGCATCCAGCTCTGCCTGTCTGGGACCTCTGAGGGGCCATGGCCTGGCCTCCAGCCTCCTGCCTGCTGAGGATGCCAGGGGCCCTGAATAATTCAGGAGCCAGAAGAGCAGGAGAGGCCTCACAGGGCCCGGGACACCCGACACGGGCTCCCAGGGGAAAGTGATGAATTATTGACAGGATTCTGGTGCCTAGTTGCTGCTCTATTGTGGTCAGTCTGAGGGCCCGTCTGGACTAGAAGCCTCCTCCTGCCAGCTAATTACGTGGGGATCCTAGCTCTGCCCAGCCCCCCAGCCCTCATGGGGCCAGCCAGCCTCCTATGAGAGGTGCCCTCTTTGCCCTGGTGACCTGGATGCCATGTAAGGCAAGTAGTAGGAGGACATGGAGTTAGCCCCAGCTCCTTCACCTAATAGCCCCCGGGAAACTGAGGCCCAGAGAGGCCTCTTGTCCAGGGTCACACAGCAGATTCAGGACAGAGGCAGGTCTCAGCCCAGGCCTCCTGACGCCTACACTAGTGCTCCTTCCCACAGAACACATGACCTCACAACTCCCATTTCCAGGGAAATGACTCGGCTGTCTAAGGGGCATATGAGCCCACTGTTCCTTAGTCATCCTGGGCCCCACTCTCTCAGGCAGCTCCTCCATGCTGACCCACGCAGAGGAGCAGGACACTACTATGCATGCAGACAGGATGCACAGAGGCCAGCTGCGGCAGGCAGAGTCACCTCCAGGGTCACCACGGGGGCCAGAGCTAGGGGCTTCTCCTATCTCTTCCTGTCCCAGCTTCTTCCCAGAGAATATCTATAGAGGACGGGCTGAGGGATAGCATCCTAGAAGCAGCGTCAGGGCCTTTGCTTTGAAACCGTGTTTTCATGGAAAGCACTGTTTTTGCTTAAATGGTATGTTACAGACCAAAGGTTTATAAAAATGCTTTTCTTTAACTTTACATAAGACTGAGATAATATCAATTATCTGTGTCAAAGAATATAATCTTTACTTTTATTTGAGAGAGGTTGGGGGTGAACTGTTAGGAGTTAAAAGCCTCCAAGCCACTCTTGGGGGTATGGGAAATTGATTCCTTTAATCTTGCAAACTCCTAGCACCCCAGTCCCCCATCCAGACCATAGACCAGCCTGGGCTCTTGGAGGCTGTGCAGAGCTGGAAGGGTGGGGGACAGCCTGGATCTGCTGCTGGAGCCCAACCTGCAAAAGAGACGCCCCCGTGTGGGCCCTCCAGATGGTCAGCCTTGCGTATTATTAGAGAGGGAGGAGGGGCTGGCATCCGAGTGCCGGTGGCGTTCGAGGAATTTCTCATGAGCAGTCTCCTTGCCACTGTCCGGTGGAAGCTGGAGGGCTAGGAAAGGAGCCAAAACCATACCACTGGTAAGGGGTGAAATCTCCCTTGGGTCCTGCTGAGTGAGCCCATATCTGTCTGACTCCAGAGTGCAGGCTCTTCACTGTCTACACTGCTTCCCTTTAGGGATGGCATTCTGCATGTGGACAGGGCTCGGACCAGGGTGTGAAGAGTGGGGGATTTGTCTGGAGCCCAACCTTGGCACATTGTGTGATTAAAAGCTGTGGCTGAATGGACTACCAGTGACAGCCCCATCACTGTCACCACCACGGGATTATCCAGCAGAGGCTTGAAAGCACATGTCAGGGAGGTTGTTCCAGGGATTCCTCCTGGAAGGGGTGCTGGACAAGGTCTCCTCTCAGGTTCTTCCCAAGTCTAAGGTCTGAGACTCAGGCAGGTTAGGCCTAGAAGGCACCAGATGCCTCTCTGAGCACTTGCAGGGGGAATAGCTCCACCCTGCCCCCTGGGGGTGTCTTGTCACATTGCAGCACCTCCGCTGATCCTGGGGAGCTGCCTCTGCTGTGCTTGAGCATCTAATTCTGCAGAGATGTGCCTGATCACCCCATGCTTAACAGGTGCCCGACAGGCCCTAGAGGAATCAAGGCAGCTGAATAGCCATCGGCAAAGGATAACAGTAGAGCAGGGATTCTCAAAGTGTCTCCCCAGCCAGCAGCTTCAGCATCACCTGGAAACTTGTCAGAAATACACATTCTCAGGCCCCCTCCCACCCACTGAATCAGAGCCTGGGGGCAGGGCCAGTGGTGTGAACTGAAGTACGGTGGACTCAGTTCTGTGACTTCACATTAGAAGCTTGAAGTGGCCATGGTGGGAGTATGTATGCCACGGAAACCAGCAAAAGCTGCAGATCAGCACTGCCCTCTCCTCTCCCACCGGTGACACATTTTCCAACACATCCACAGAGAAGGGTGTCACAGCCATCTGTGTTTTCACAAGCCCTCCAGGTGATTCTGTTCATGCTGATGTTTGAGAAACACTGATTTAGAATAAATGAGGTGAGGCTGCAGGAAGGAGTGTATCCTTTCGTGCCCATGGTCTCCTGTTGGAATGTCTACATGGTATGGAAGCTAAGAGTCCCCTTCCCCCTTCATTTTATAAAGACCAAATTGGGACTCAGGGACAGCGGCTCCAGGGCTCCTGGCCCCCAGCCCAGCACTTCTGTCTCTGGGGCACTGCCTGAGCTGGGGAGAGGTGCCTGCAGCTGTGGGAGAAGGCTTTCACGGGGCTGCTCGAAGCGCCCAGAAGCCCAGTTTGTCTTTAGAGTGGTGTGAACAGTTTCACCCTTGGGGAGGTGGGGTGCACTGGCGGATGAGACTCTGAGCTCAAGAGGGGAGCATTTCATATCCATCCATCACGGCCACCCTGCCACTTCCTCCCCTCACACAAATGGGAGGATTTTTAAAAAATCAGTGTTCATTCTCCACAGACCTCAGTGTGGTATAGACATCAAGCACATCTAAGTCAGAATTTACCTGATACCTCACCTTACCCAGATGTGTCATTAATTAGCTGTGTCCCTTCCCCTTCCATGGCCTCACTGTCTTCCTCTATCAATCTCAGGCAGATAATGTCCAAGGTCCCATCCAGCTCTCACACGACCTGGATGCTTCCCTCACCTTTGTGCTTTCAGCTACAAATGGTGTATGTGTTCCAATCCACCCCATGTAGAAGCACCATGTGAGGACGTCTCTCTGAGTTCCCTGTTCTCTCCCAGAGCAATAAAAAGCCTTCTGACCGTGGGGTGCAATGGGGTTGAAGTCAACTCCATCAGCATTGATTGGGCATCCACTGTTGTTCATTAATTCAGCCAGCAGGTATTGAGATCTCTAGTATGCTAGAAATGTCAGACAGAGGCTGGAATAGAAAGCACCAGCCGTGCCTTTGAGGGGCTCACGGTTTAGAGGCAGCACGTGAATAGCAACGGACCCAACTGCTTTGGAGTGCTGGCTGTGTGCTGGGGCCTCTGATAAGAACACTTGCAGGGCCAGGCGCAGTGGCCCATGCCTGTAATCTCAGTACTTTGGGAGACCACGGGCAGACAAATCACCGGAGGTCAGGAGTTTGCGACCAGCCTGGCCAACATGGTGAAACCCCGTCTCTACTAGAAATACAAAAATTAGCCATGTGTGGTGGCGCATGCCTGTAGTCCCAGCTACTCAGGATGCTGAGGCAGCAGAATCACTTGAACCCAGGAGGCAGAGGTCCCAGTGAGCTGAGATTGCGCCATTGCACTCCAGCCTGGGTGACAAGAGTGAGACTCTTATCTCAAACAAAACAAAATAAAACAAATAAACAAAAACACTTGCAGATGATCTCATGTAGTCCTTCAACAACAACTGTGAAGCAGGGCTTATCAGCTCATCTTACAAGAAAACTGAGACTGAGAGAGCTTAAGGAAGTTGCCCATGAAGAGATAACTCGCTAGTCAGTGTCAGAGCTGGGCTTCAGATCCCTGTCTCTTGGACGCCAGGACTGTGCTGTTAACCAAAGCATTGCACTGCCTCTCCCCAGCTGTGCAGCACCGTGGGGGCTCTGCAGTCACAGCTTCCTGCCGTCCAAGAACTTACAGGCTGTGGATGCGGAATGGATGAGTGAGCGCTGTTGGTGTGGGCTGGAAGCCTCGGTCATGGTTAGGGAGGTGGAACCAGAGGAGTTACTTGTCCATCCAGGAACCTCAGGTCCTTCCCCAGCCTCCACACTGAGCATCTAGAAGCTTCTCTGCAAAGGCTCAGCTGAAGCTGGAGTCCATGCACCCTTCCCTGCAGTCTGTAGACATCCTCTAAGGTTGCTCACTGCTCCTTGGAGCTCTCCCAAGGAAACGGGCCTCCCACAAACAACCATCCACAGCGGGACATGTTACCCTGGCTGCGACCAGCCCTGGCTCCTGGTCCACCTTCTCCAACCCAGCCCAGAGCCAGGAGCAAGCCCACCCGAGTCCTCCCCAAGCCATTACGGCTCTTGGGACATCAGTCTTGCTCCTTACCCTGATCTCTTCCATGTCACCACCGTGCCCTCTTTCTGTCCCCAGGCTCATCGGGACCTTCCGTATGGTGCTGCAGAAGGTAGTAGAGGAGAACCACGTGGAGGTGACCGACACGCTGATTGATGACAACAACGCTATCATCAAGGTGGGTGTGCCCCAGGGAGCTCCTGGACTTTTCCCTATGGGACCATCTGGGTGTCTGTTTTCCCTGCCCCACACATGGGGTGGTCTGGAGAATGCCCCGCATGCATGGTGAGGTGTGGCGGGAGGAGGAGACTCAGGTCAGACTCGGCCGTAACGGCTTGATCTGCAGCCGAGCCTGGGGCCCTGAAGTAGGCGTCTCTGCACTTCCTGCGGTGGGAATGCACCAACCGGTCCTTCCATTCAGACCCAGCTTGGGAGTCACTAAAGAGGCTTCTCTCATCGCCCAAAGGCCAGACTGAACCCTGCTGGGGTTCAAGGGCATGACCTTCACTCTGCACATCTGGCTCGGCTTCCCCCTGGGAGGGCAGAGACCTCATTTCCTATTGTTTGTCACATCCCAGATCTTTTTCATGAGCATGCATGCACTAGTGATGCACAGCCCCGAGGTTCCTGAAACATGTTCTAACAAAGGAAGGAAGTAACCCACTAGGACAGCCTGAGCCCAGGCTCTGCTTTCATTCCTCAGTCCTCTTGAGCTCAGCCATGGCCACTTGTGGGCACCTGGCATGATGGTGAGAAACAGGTATGAATCTTGGGCCACTCACTCACTGTGTGACCTGGGCAAGCTACATATCATCTGCAAAGTGAGCACAATTATAGTATCCATCTCACAGGATTGTTCTGAGAACTAAAGGAGAATACACAGAAAGTACCTAGAACAGATATGCACAATAAATCTATAATATCGTTAGCTATTGTTTCCTGACCTCAGTTTACCCATGTATAAAATGGGGCTGTGCCATGAGGTCCTGTGTAATATATAGCCCTATGTAGTGACCAGGAGGAACAGCCTCAGAAGCCAGGACTGCAGCCATGGGGAGCTAGAAGGAACCCTCTTCTCCCATGGGCAGGGGTGGGCAGGGAGGGCTTCTTAAAGTTACAGGGGTCTCAGCCACCTCAAGAGTAGAAGGGGTACAGAACAAGCCACGTATGGACACCAGTGGGAGGAGGGCTGGGAGGAGAACACAGAAGCCTGGATGAAGTGTGGATAGTGTGAGAAGTGAGATGAGAGGACTGGGGAGCGAGCAGGATGGACAGATAGCACAGCCCATGCCCTGGATTTCCAGAATCAGACTTAAGATGTTAGAGGAGGAAGGGACTCACAGATCACCTAGCCCACTTGCCACCCACCTCCTCTACCCATTGTTATGAATGGGAACAGTGAAGTCCTACATGCAGAATAAATTTGGCCATGGTCAGAGCAATAGTCAACAGCAGAGGCCCAGGACTTCCAATGCCAGACCACCATTTTCCCACAACATACTTGGTTCCACCAAGAGAGTCACATCGGTTCCATGGAAAGGACATGGGGCTTGGAGACAGGCAGCCTGGGCCCAAATCCCAGCTCCGGTACTTCCTAGCTGGGTGACTTAAAGCAAGTCACTTAGCCTTCAGATATGCTAGGTAAGGTAGGTTACAATGCTGAAAAGATCTAATAAGTGTACATTCAAGCATCTCGGCATGATGTCTAGAACAGCGACGGTTCAGAAAACATGTGCACCTTCCCCTTCCCTTGGGAAATCTAAGCTGGGGCACTGGGGGGTCCAAACACTGAATGAGGGCCGCCTATCTTGGTCTCAGGCACAAGTCACCTCTAGACCTGTGAGGAAGGGTGATGCTTTCTGGGGACCTCCCATCACCCGTGTAGCTTGAGGAAGGAACTAGAATGAGTATTCCCTGTGCACTGGGGGAAACTAGAGCTGCAAGAGAGTAATGGCCCCAGGACACAGAGCAGGAAGCCCAATCACGATTCTCCATTGCTAAGCCTGAGCTCGGGCTGGGTGCTGTTGGAAATAGATGGTCAGTACCACAAAGAAAAATTAGCGCTGAGACAAATGATCTTGTAGCAATGCAATTTTTATTTCCTGGACTGCAGGAAGGGTACTCTTGCTAGCCATCTTGCCAGAAGAGTACAATGAACAAAGGAAAACAGACAAATTTATCCCTTACGCATTTGGGGTTGACCTTACTGCTGTGTCTGATCTCCGTTGGCTGGAGCCAGACCTCACAATCTAAACTAAAACCCGATTGGCTAATAACTTAAAAGTTTTCTAAACAGGTAAAAGCAATGGAGAGCTGGGACATGCCTGTGGGCACGTCTAGCACAGATATCTTGGTTAAAGTACAAGGACATAGAATGTACTACGTGCCTGTAAGCATGGCATGTCTAACAGCTACATAAGATAGGGCTTAACAAAGTTTTCAGCACACTCATTCTTTAACAAGAAAGGAACTTTAAAAAAGAACTTTTCTACTTCCCACAGGTCCCTTACTTTCTCCCAGAGGAAAACCCTAAGGCAGCCCCAAGATTCTCTCCCTCTCCAGGGTAGGAAGCGTGGGTGTGAGCCTGGCCTGGGCTCCTCTCCTGGAGGCCACTTTCAGCTCATTCTGACGCATTTCCAACAAGCCGATTTCTGGCTGGCCACGACTCATGCCCACAGGCAGCCCTTGTTCTAAGGAGAGGAGATGACCTGATCATGGGAATGCCGAATGGCACTCTGGGTTATGTATACAGTGGACTCAGGTTGAGTCTGGGCTCAGTTGTCCCAGGCAGGCCAGGCCCCTCCACCTCGAGCACGGGACCTGGAGCCAGATCCTAGTAAGCTGATCAGGTCTGTACAAGTCAGCCTTTCAGAGCCTCTGTTTTTTCTTTTTGCTTTTCCTTTCTTTTTTTCGTTTAGACAGTCTTGTTCTATTGCCCAGGCTGGAGTGCAGTGGGGCGGTCTTGACTCACTGCAACCTCCACCTCCCGGGATCAAGTAATTCTCCTGCCTTAGCCTCCCAAGTAGCTGGGATTACAGGCATCTGCCACCATGCCCAGCTAATTTTTTCATATTTTTAGTAGCGATGGGGTTTTACCATGTTGGCCGAACTGGTCTCAAACTCCTGACCTCGTGATCTACCTGCCTCAGCCTCCCAAAGTGCTAGGATTACAGGGGTGAGCCACCATGCCTGGCCGAGCCTCTGTTTTCTCATTAGCAAAATGGGGTAGAGGGATCCTACCATCCTGACCTCTTCTAGTGAGGTAAGGGTGTGGAAGCACTGCAAAACACCACCAAGCAGCCACATAGACAGGGTGAGGATTGCTGCCGCCGTCCCAGCTGCTCACCACCACCTCTCTCCCTTCAGACCAGCCTCTGCGTGGAGGTCAGGTATCAGGGCACCGACGGCACAGTGGGATCCTGGGACGATGGGGACTTCCTGGGAGATGAGTCTCTTCAAGAGGAAGAGAAAGACAGCCAAGAGACGGATGGACTGCTCCCAGGCTCCCGGCCCAGCTCCCGGCCCCCCGGAGAGAAGAGCTTCCGGAGGTAACAGGCAGGGCCCTTCTGGCTGCCCGATGCCCCCAAGACACAGGGAAGAGGCCTAAGGCCTGGTCCCCCTGGCCTGGCTGGGCTCAGAGTACAGGGCTGAGCTTCTGGAGAGACATCCAAGAGGTGGGAAGATATTTCCTGCCAGAGTGAAGCCAGTGATCCTGGCTGGGCCCTGGCCTTTCTTCCTCTTGAGAAGAGAGTGCGCCCGGGAACCCCCGGAGGCCAGGATCACACCCTGCAAGTGTCCTGCCACCCACAGACCCCGGGAGGCTGGATCCAGGCCAGCTCATTCCACGTGCACTATTTTTACAAAACAGAAAACACAGTTGTATTACTATTAGAGTCCAAGGGGACTCTAATCTGGGCTGGCCTGGTAAGGCATTGTCCATGGGTTCCTCAGTCACTGGGAAGTATGTGTTAAATGCCAGTAAGTCAAGGGTGCATCTAAAGGACCAGGGTGTGTTTTGAGAATGGACCCTCCATGCCATTGGAAACACCCCTGTAATCTCCTTCCACACTTTCCTTTCCAAGTAAAGTTTACTCAGCCCCTCCGCTGAAGAAAGCATAGGTTCTAAATTAGTGTAATTGAATTGAAATACTTTTATGAGACAAATATGTTTTCTCCTTTGCACTTGAATGAGTTCCCACCCTCTTAGGCACCCCTCACGCACACGTGCACATGTGTGCACATACACAAGCTTCAGAAGCCCTGGGAGCCGATGAGTAATAGTAACAAGGTCAAAGTGACCAGGCCTGCCACAAATATGGCAAGACTGTTTACCCCAGGCCAGCCACCGGCATGGGGCAGCCCCGCACCAGCTTGGAGCTCGTACCCTCGGACTCCTGGCTCCTCAGCAGAAGACCCAGGCCTGAGTCCCAGCTCTGCCTCTTACTAGTCATGTGACCCTTGATAAGGCACAAAACCTCTCTCCTCACCTGTAAAATGGGGGACACAGCAATGAAACCCCCCCTGCCCTGCTGTTGGGAACGCCAGAGGAATCATGGAGGAACAGGTGGCAATGGAGGTGCTGAGGGCTGACCATGTCCAGGCAGGTGACAGACAAACAGGTTTCTGGTAGAGCAGCAATGCAAAGGCTATTGGGAGCCCTCATCCATCTGTCAGGATGCCTCACAGGAGTGTCAGGATTGAGTGAGGTGCACCTGTGAGCCCCACCCCTATGCCTGGCATTCGGCAGGTGCTTGGCCAGTGCTCACTTCCTTCCTCTTCACTGACTCCATGTTACCCTGATGTCAGCTTCTGCGCTGAGCAGCACCTAACCTTCTGGCTCAGGCGCTGTCCAAGCACCTTCTCAGCTCTTGCACCCCACCCTATACCATGGACTCTGCAGAAGCCACCCACACGGGAGCCTTACTGCCCAGGGGCAGGGGTAGGAGACTCATTTACTCCGTGTTCCCCTCGCATCCCCAGGCTCCCAGTGTTGCAGACAGAAGGAATCCCTAACTGCATGGGCACTCCACACTCAGCAGCAGAAAACCGGTGTGTTCCAGACCCTTGCAAGGCAGCATATGCCTGCCCTAGACTCTGGAGAGAAAGAGACTTCGGCCCTGACCACACTCACATGCACACACGTGTGCACACAAGTGCCCATGCGTTTGCACAGACTCACATGCACTGCATGACACCGCTGGATTCTGGGCTCTGCTGCTGATGCTGCCTCTAGGAGTCACATCTTAGAAAGGACAAAGAAGGAAACCCAGCTTTAGTCTTGCAGCTAAACTTTATACACCTGAGCCTTTCCTCCTGAGTCCCTGTATTCTACCACCCTCTCCTCTTCTCATTTTCTCTACCTGACCTGGCTCTCCTGCCCTCCATGGGCCCCACCCCACTCTGCTGCCCAAAACCTCTTCTGCTGGCATCTTCTCTGCTGGGTGTCATCCAGGAGTTTGGGGCAGGAGCCACTTTTCTCATTCTCCTTATTGATCATTCTTCCATTCCAGTGGACACCTGCAGAAGCCAGGTACCTTCATCCTATCCTGGGGCCAGAGGACAGTGGGGCACTATGCATGGTGGGGCTCTGAGACAGAGGGGCACAGGGCGGGCATGCAGAAGCGTGTGCATGTGGGGTCAGTACACAACATGCAGCCTCACACCAAGAATGTTTTTAATCAGTTCCCCCAGCCCCTAGAGAGCTCGAAAGTCCTCTGCTGCCCACCTTCTCCAGGCTGAGCCCCAGAGTTGCAGCAGCTCCCTAAGCAGCTCAGAGGAGCCGGCACAGCTGGCCGCGCTGGGATGTTGTGCTTGAGACACAGTCCTCCTCTGCCGGGAGCTGTTCTCTGCTCAGTAATCTCAGGTTTCAGTCGATTTGGGCAGCCAGAGGCCTGGCTGATGTTATTGCCTTTGAATTACAGACTGATCTGCTTGCCTAATGTAAGGGTTAGCTGGTCAGCGCTGGACTGCCACTGCGCTGCATCTAGGACTTCAGGTCTTGAGCCATCAGGGCATGGAGTCAAGCCTACCTGGGCAGGCTCTGTGCCAGAACAGGGTGTGAGGACAGGAATCATTTGCTAATTATTATTCATTTTCTTGTCTTCATCTTCATTGTCACGGCCTTGGGAAAGCATTGAGAGAACATTCTGGAAAAGTTTTCTGGAAGCCTCCCTAAAGTGAGATAGGAACACCGTTTTCTCCATCTCTGAGTCCTGGAGTCATAGCTCGCTTACTGCCCAACCTACACCCCCAAAACTTCCCCACTCACCAGTGCGTCCTCCACAGCAGCACCCCCAGCCCCATCTCAGGCTCGCAGAACAGGCTTAGCCCACTGTTCCCCTAGAGGCCCCCAGAGCCTGGGAGTTCCCACCCCATTGGAGGGGAATAGGGGAGCCGGTGGGCAGAGGAGCAGGGTGGCCCAGACCCAAAGGGTGGCCAAGCTCATCTAACCCCGTGTTCCCTGAGGAAGCTGCGACCCACACGGTGGAATCTTCAGACCTTAGCCTGGTGCCCTGAGATATCAGAGCTTGGGGCTGAGACAGTGGCCACCCAGGCCCAGCGCTGTGAGCCCCTCCCCTCTCCCACACGGCAGCGTCCACAGCCCTGGGACCCCTACCCTGCAGACCTAGGCTTGTTACTCTGTGAGCAGCTGTTGGGGGAGAGGTCAGCAGGACAAGGAGTCCCCCGGGAAGAGTCCAGGTCTGCGGGGCCAGGGCTGAGGCCAGTGTCTCTGGTCCACAGCCCCTCACATGTGTCCCCTTGTCTCCTCATTTCTTCTCCCTACTCAGCAAAGGCAGAGAGAAGACCAAGGGAGGCAGAGATGGCGAACACAAGTAGGTGTCCCAGGCCAGGGCAGATGGGGCATCATCTCTGTGGGAGCAGAGGCCTCTTCCCCGAAGGCTGTGGATGGTGGGGCGGGCTCGGCTGAGAGGCTCAGGAGTGGGTTGTCCCAGCAGAGCTGGTATGGGGAATGCAGGGCCAGGAAGGCCTTTTCACCTGACCACAGGGATGAGGGACGAGAGGGGTGAGGGTGGGGGCAGGAGGTGGCCAGGCCATCTGGTGTTCACTCTGGGCTCTTGGCGGTGACCATCTTCCTGTCAGTGTTTTGTTCCTCCTCCACTGTTCAGCCCCCATCCTGTGGCCTTCAGGCTTCCCTGTGAGGGAAGGGACAGCTAAAGGCAAAGGGGAGAGGGGCATGAAGACCTAAGGGACCCCTCCCCCAACAAGGTCAAGGCAGAGCCAGGCAGCTGGAGGCCTAAGGAGGCGGAGCTCTGGGCATTGTTGTGGCTGCAGGTCATGGGCGAAGCTGGAGACCCCCAGGAAGCTAAGGAGAGGCGACCATTCGGGCAGCTCTCTCTGTCTTCATCTCCCCAAAAGGCTTCCTGGGGAAATGAGATCAGGGTGCTCTCTGGAGAGAACTGGAGAAGGGGACTGTAGATGGGAGGGGCCGGTCACAAGGACCTGGAAAGATTCGAAGGCTGGGGGTTGTGAATGGGTCTGGTAGGCACCCCTAGAAGCACACTGACATCTGGAGGACTCTAGCATCATGGGGTCTCACAAGGGCAGGGTAGCCAAGGCTGACCACACTGGAGGAGGCCTCAACACCTGCTCTTACAGATGACAAATCTGAGTCTCAGAACGGGGCCAAGCTGGACCCAGAACACAGAGAACCTGATTTCTAACCTGGAGCTCACCATAGACCTAGGAAGTTTAGAGCACTTAACTGTACCCTAAGTTTAATCTAATTTTCTAAACACCAATGAGAGCTGAAAAGCCAGGAATGTGGTCTTTTTTATTTTCCAGATAAGGAATCTGAGCCCAAGAGATGTTAAGAGATTTGCTCAAAACTGTGGCCTCAATACATTAAAAATTAGTTCATCTGAAGATATCATGGGAATATCAGGATTGTGTGTTTAGGGTTCTGAACTGATCAACACTGGTGTGGCCTTGGGGTATCTGCTTGCATTAAGATCCAGGGGAACTCACAGCCTCATTCATTGCTTCAAAAAAAGTATCTAACTCAACGTTTGTTTTGCACAAGAAAAAGCAATGATGATGCAGCGTCAATTCTTTAGTGACGGAGGAAATGACGCTGTGTAGAAGGAGCTCCAGCCCAGAGACCTGAAGGATCGAGGCGTTTTCCAAGTTCCCAGTAAGGAAAGAAGCCTCAGGCAGAGCATGTGTCAAGGCTCAAACAGGGCCAGGGAACTAAATCCAGGGCAAGTGGAGATGATGGGGAATGCTGAGCTGGGGATCCCCTTAGGGAGTCCTCCAGGGTTCAGGTTTCTCCACAGATGCTTAGATGTAAAGGGCATATGAATGAGATATGAGCAGCCTGTCCAGCCCCAGGTTCTCTGCCTGAGATCGGCGATGCTCTAACGCCCTTCTTGATGCCCAGCTCCGCAGTCTGTCCCAAGCCAGACCCACAGGGACACAGACTGGCCTGATCCCTTTGACTGGCTACCATTGGAGTAAGAGGTGCCTCACAGTGCCAGCACTTAGTAGGTCCACAAAAATGCTTGTTCCCTAGCCCTTCTGTGTCCTAATTTCTTGCCATCTCTAATTAGCACATGAGATAAAGTAAACTGGCATGTATTATTATTATTTTAATGTGTGCAATAGGATTATTGAAAGAATAGGAAAATTGGATTTCTAAGAAGAGATTGAACAAATTTAGGCTGGGTGCAGTGGCTCACACCCATAATCCCAGCACTTTGAAAGGCCAAGGTGTGTGAATCACAAGGTCAGGAGTTTGAGACCATCCTGGCCAACGTGGTAAAACTCCATCTCTACTAAAAATACAACAACAACAAAAAATTAGCTGGGCATAGTGGCAGGTGCCTGTAATCCCAGCTACTCAGGAGGCTGAGGCAGGAGAATCACATGAACTCGGGAGGCAGAGGTTGCAGTGAGCTGAGATTGCGCCACTGCATTCCAGCCCTGGTGACAGAGTGAGACTCCATCTCAAAAAAAAAAAAAAAAGAGATTGAACAAATTTTTAAACTCTTTAGTCTGGAGGACTGAACCATTGGGACAGATTTCAATTTCTGCAATGTTAATGTGTGGCAAAGCTGCTTTGTATCTATCTCCACTCTTGAGAAGAGAGAAATGGAAATAGATGGAAGTTACAGTAGAGGAACAAGATTCAACCCGTGAAAGAACTCATTGTGTGACATTCTGGGATAGGCTGGTTTGAGGAGATAGGAAATCACCCCAGAATCTTCCATGCTGCTGCTTACTTGAGCCTTGCAAAGGGCTGGGCCACCAGCAACAACTGAAAAGCCAGCTTCTCTGACAGTCCTGGGGTCAGGATAAGTGCGTGGGGGTCTCCCAGCCCTTCTAGTATGTCATGGGCACATGTGCAAAGGGGCCAGTTTGGGGACAGGGTGGTTCTTGTATAAAGGGTCAACCTATCCTGTCCTCCTGTAGGAAGCTATTCAAAAACTAACTGAAATTCAACACACTTTCAAAGATACCTGTTGAGACTAAAATTATGAAATTCCCTGTGCTTGGGGCATGGGACATTTTAAAAAATAAACCCATTAAGGGGTGCTTGGATGACATGCTCCCAGGTTTTGAAAACTGGGCCGTTTGAGCAATGGAAAGAAGGACCACAGAGCCTGTTTCTCATAGATAGG